TGTGTCTGTGTCTGTGTGTACATTTATCTGTGCATTATCTGTATATGAGCACACTGCTGCTCTCTTGTGTGAGGTGCTTCTTGTATAGGTCTAAATCTGACTATTGAGAGCAAAATCCAACCAGGGCAGCGCATGCAGATTACGTTTCTTGTGGAATTCGGCATAATCAAGAGCTTCAAAACAAACCTGTGTAGTAGCTGTGGCATCAACACTGTGTCCAGATATGAGATTTTCTTTCTGCATGATGCTAACAACTTATGACAAACTGAAGAGACTGTCTGTCTGTGACAACAATAACTGAAATATGGCTTTACTGTAAGACAAACAGTACTGACCACAGTAGGACTTGCTCACGATAAATAGCTTGCTCACATGACCTCCTCATATCAAAATTCCAGCAAGAATCATTGCAAAACACCACAGAAACTCGACTCCTCATAAACACATCAAATAAATATAGCTGACCTGAGGTGTGTGGCCAAGAAAAATAATATGAATATTAATGCAGTAATTCTTCTCCAACAAAAACATATTGAACTAAAATCCTGAAGTGAATATGTTTTTGCCAGAAAAAATGCTTATGAATAAAAGGAAATAGTTTAGACCTCTACTAAGGTAATAACCTCCCCTGCTAGCTGTCCTAAAGCCAAATGTCTGAGTTTCCTGTGTAAATAACACTAAGAGTAATAAAGTGGCATTTTGACTAACAAGAACTGACAGAACAAGTGTATAGTATATACAAAGTTTTGATTTTGCTTTTTTGGGGGGGAGGGGGGACTAAATACTTACTACCTTTACTTGAAAACTGCAGTGTTGAGCTATATGGCTGTTTCAGCAACTGCTGGGATTATTTTAGTTTACAAAATAGCAAAGTAGGCTGTGGCGCAGCCAAGCTCTAAGAAATTACTGTTTTTGTCACTGAATGGGGAACAAGACTACATGTAATAGGTCTAAAACCACTAAGTATATGAAAGTTGCATGTAACTTATGGGTCTGAAACATGAAGCCAGTGCTGATGTGCCAGCAGGAGGCTGCTACTTTGATTTCAGAAAGCAATCTAAGATCTAATTAAACATTGACCTGAGTAAACACTTTCCAGATCAGTTGAAGGTTTTAGTTCAATTTGTCTGCTTCTTATTGAACGCAAGATATTATTTATTTTTAAAACTATAATTAGAGTCAAAAAGGATGATAGAGAGGGGTGTGCCTTAGGTGGGCTTACCTGGTGACCTCTATTTTCTAATAGCTAAGATGATGACAGCAAAAGCAGTCAATGCGGCAACCGTGGTTGGGAAGCGCATCTGTAACCGGAAGGTCGCCGGTTCGATTCCCAGGCTCTCTGTCCTGGTCGTTGTGTCCTTGGCAGTAGGCGGTAGACACTTTACCCTACCACCTGCCGGTGATGGCCAGAGGGGCCGATGGCGCGATATGGCAGTCTCGCTTCTGTCAGTCTGCCCCAGGGCAGCTGTGGCTACAGCTGTAGCTTACCTCCACCAGTGTGTGAATGAATAGTGGCATTGTAAAGCGCTTTGGGTGCCTTGAAAAACGCTATATAAATCCAATCCATTATTATTAATGCGAGGCCTCATAATGGGATTTTTCTATCCAATGACTATATTGGCTATGTGCATCTTTTATGTACATTCTATTAACAAAACATCATTTGTATTAACTAATTAGTATTAATATTAATTGTAATTAATATTTAAT